GCCATACATTGTGCTGCAAGGGAAATTTTGCCCAGACAGCGGCGCTACGGCCTACTCTTATATCGAATTCAATTGCCACGGGATATTTTACGTATCCTCCGATCGACTAGACAGCTCTCCTTGTCAGGCCCTTTATACTGCACCACTGACACGGGGAAACCACGCCGGAAATTCCCGATGATCTTTACTCGGCCAACACTGGGATCGATCTCTCGACCTCCAGGCTAGCGAGCCAATATCGTACTTATTTAGCCACCGTGGTTCCCCTCTAAACGAAAGCGGCAATACGCGCGAGAAATCCGCCAGATAAAGCTTGTGCATTGATGATTTCGTCATGTATGCTGTTTGACCTCGCACTCTGATCGACTGATCAAAATCGGTCGCGAGAGGTGTTCCCAAAAATTCGCTCAGGATACAATCTCCGCGGTTTTCATATCGACAAAACTAAAAGCAACACTCATATGCTAAACAAAATTAATCCCATCCTAAGCTTTGCAGACATACTTTTATCTTAGGAAAGCCGTCTAAATAGTGTTGATTGCAAGCAAAATGTTGCCTATAGTCGTCTGGATGATACAAAAACGCAGGCGCACCCGCGTACACATTGGCGTCCTCGTACAAGGTATTAAAGAGCTGAATCGCTATTCTTTGAAACCTACATGTAGAAATGGACACAAATGGGTCGCAACAATATAATAATGTAATATGAACGTATATAAACTGATTTACATCGCTTAGAGAAATAAAAAAGACATTTTATTTTATTGAACTAATAAAAACTGACTATGTAGATACAGATTTTTTTTTTTTTTTTTGATTTTTTTTTTAAAAGGGATCTACTTGTTTAAACATACATTATGCAAGAGCTAAATCTGTCTATTGCAGGTCTTTCTTTAAGCCTGAAATGTTATCTGAATTATTAATTAGACATTTATTAGACATGGCACCGGATTTCTCCGATATTAAATAGATTAGAACTGTTCAGATATATTTTGATTTAAGCTTCGAACAACCAGTACGGTGGTTGAAATTATTGCACACGTCTTGTCAAATCTTCAAAATTTCAAATTATTCATTTTACATTATCTGTTTTTGAACTATTATAGCAAGAATGGCTAGCTCTTTATCTAAATCTTACATAATGTATCTTTAATCGAGCTTCTCACGGAGCAATGAAGATGGACATTAATTCCGGTTTCCGTTAGAGAAAACAATAGGCATTTTATTGATTGGAATCAAAGATCGATCTATGTATTGGAAACAAAGGGATTGCTTTTTAAATCTGGTATACAATATAAATAGATTAAAGTTGATTAAGTATAAGTATACTTATATTACCCATAAAAATTGTGTTCTTTGTTCCTATATGTTTACGGTAAAAATTGTGTTCTGTGTTCCTCAATCGCTAAATGCCACTTCTATAGATATGTTTACGGTAAAAATTGTGTTCTGTGTTCCTCAATCGCCAAAATGCCACTTCTGTATGTTTACGGTAGATAATAACAGCCATAAAACAAAATAAAAATACGCCCAGTTAAAAAGATCAACCATGTTTAAATCTTCTTTCGGATGTAAATAATCCAACTCATATTAGGGGTGGGGTGGGCACATTGCCGCCGTTTTGGCATCGCTCCAATCTAATCCTACACATGCACCTAAATGGACATAAATATTGTCTCAAATCGTCTTATTTTATTAAATTATCGGGTAAACTTTCAGACCTCTTGCCAAACTTGAGGTTGTCTCCACCCGGGGCCCACTCCTGCTCAGATTCCTTGATATAAGGGGGGTTGGATGGCCGAATGGTTTCGAATCCACGGTTGTACGTGACAAGGAGTAGGGTCGCCTGTCCAACCTCGTGGGTTTTCTCTGGGTCCTCCGGTTTCCTCCCACTGCTAAAGCCCCTATGCGCAAGCGAATTATTGAAATAAAATTAAACCATATGTTAGTCCCGAAATGACCTAGTTTGTGTCGAGTGGACGTTAAACCCCATCTCTCTCTCTCTCTCTCTCTCTCTCTCTCTCTCTCTCCTTGATATAAATCCTTCGACTTTCAACTGCTTCAGAAATGAAATAAAAGGAAGAAATATCGATAAAAATATCAATATTATTTCCAGAAGGAATATTGGATATCTCCTATGTTTAAATGTTTGTTGAGTGTAATGTATTGATAATCACAATATCGTGTTCGCGGGTTCCGTCATTGTCTCACACAATTCTCTAAGACTTAATTCCTTGACAAAACAAACGTCAATCTTATAATATTCTCGCTGCAATTTTGTTAATAGTTATTTGTTATCAACTAATTGTACTATGATATTATTTTCTTTGCGTAATAACAAATGTATTTGAAATAATGAGATTTTTTTTTTTTTTTTTCAGGGACAGAATCTATAAGGTAAGATCACATTATGAACACAGTTTTTATGTTATTGCCATAACAACCCGGGTTTTTTTTATGTTATCACAAATGAGTTATGGGGCATTTAAAAGGGAATGGGTAATGGGACATTTAAAATATAATGAGTTATGAGGCATAATAAATGTAATGAGTAATTTAAAATGTGATGAGTAATTGAATATTTAGAAAGAATAGGTATAATGGAACGTTTAAAAACGAATGAGTTATGGGACATTTAAATTATAATGAGTTATGGGGCATTATAAATGTAATGAGTAATTTAAAATGTAATGAGTAATTGAACATTTAAAAAGGATAGGTATAATGGAACGTTTAAAAACGAATGAGTAATGGGACATTTAAAAAGGAATGAGTAATTGAACCTTTAAAAGGGATGGGTAATGGGACACTTAAAATATAATGAGTAATGGGGTATTATAAATGTAATGAGTGATTGAACATTTAAAATATAATGAGTAATTGAACATTTAAAATATAATGAGTAATTGAACATTTAAAAAGGAATGGGTGAAGGAATGAGTAATTGAACATCTAAACAGGAATGAGTAATGGGATATTATAAATGTAGTGAGTAATGGTACATTATAAATGTAATGAGTATTTTAAAAGGGTATATGTAAGGACATGGAAAACAAGATGGGTATTTGAATATTTAAATTGGAATGAGCAGGGCCGTAACTAGCACAGAGCAACGAGGGGGGGGGGGGCGAGAAGTGTTCTCAGGGGCTGCTGTAAAATTGACGGACAATGTATATCTATTGTTTTTATGGTCGACAATGTTATCACGGGTCGGGGGGGGGGGGAGTCAAAACTTTTTGCAGGGAGGGGGGGGTGGCTGGGAATGGGTAATAAGGCATTTACAAGTCACTTAAAATGTTATTAGTAATTGAACATTTAAAGGCGTAGGTTAGTATGGAGGTTTTTTTTTAACGGAATATCACTCTGAAAATTGTGATTTAACTAACTATTATAATATTGAATATTGACGATGAAAGTCCACATATTCACGCATTTTGTGATTATTTTTGTCGATTCAGCACCTTAAATCGCGATTTTCACCGGAAATTGTTAAAAGAAATTGTTTTGGTCTAATTTTCGTGGTAAAAGAGGTCTACATATATTTAATCTTCACTAATAAGCATATAAAGAGAAAATAAACGGATAAATTTGTTTATCCAGCAACATGGTTTTGGAAATAAATATTTACCTCTTGATCTGGTGTTACCTTTCTACATCGCTAAGTGGTTTCAGGCATTTATACATTGGGGGGGGGGGGGGGGGTAGCGCGTGTGCGTTGTATCATAAGGTCCCTCTCTCCCTCTCTCTCTCTCTTATTCCCCCCCCTCCCCTTATGTATAACTGTAAGCCTATTATAAATACCGGTACTTCGTTTCGTATTTATTTTCGTTCTCGTTTTTTTTATTTCTCACTCTATAGTCTAGTCTATACCAGTGGCTCTCAACCAGTGTGCCGCGAGAACTTCCTAAGTGTGCCGTGAAATTTTGCACGGCACACTCAGAAAATGCGAAAAAACATGTGATCCTAATTGAGTATTTACTTGAGTTCATGCCTGTGTTTTTCTTTATTTAGTTCGAGTCATTTTGTGTGACTATGACTAGTCTGTATGCCGTCTGACTTATCAGCATTTTATTTTGCAAAACTCAATTTTTTTTCACATATATTTTGCAAGGTGTGCCGCTATTAGCCTATTAATTCATGTGCTTCAAAGTGACGCGTTGGCAAAAATAGGTTGAGAACCACTAGTCTATACCAATATTCGTCACTGTCGAAAACCGTTTTAAAAGTTCTAACAAGAGGCGTTATGAAATAAGCACCTAGAGTTGCGCTTCTTCTCGTGGTCCGTGTCCTAATTAAGTGCAGGATCGGAACTCAGAACACACTGTCGATGTCCAATGCACACAGACAATTGTTTCATGATAGGCGTTTCACGAAAGGCTTTCTTTAGCATCTTGGTGGACAAGAAGAAAGCTGTTGAGCAAATTGTTTAAATAGACGAAATTTATTGCCAGACGCAAGTACCACGTTTACAAGTGGATATTTGCGGTTAATTATGACACAGGACAAAACTAAAAAGATTCCAGCAGGAATACAGTAGTGTCTTCCTGTGCTTAATTCTGGTCCATTTATCATTCTGGTGCTGGTGTTGGCCAATCTTGTGGAACTGTTACACATTTTGATGGGGAGTAGGCTAGGGCGGTGCCAGGTGCTATAAGTACTTTGGATTAGGCCCTATAATCTGAGGGCCTGACAAGGACAGCTGTCTAGTCATTTCGGATGGGACAAAAAACCAAGGTCCCGTGTACACATTGGCGTGCACGTAAAAGATCCCTTGACAGTTGGAATTCGATATAAGAGTAGGCCGTAGCGCCACTGCCTGGGCAAAATTTCCCTCATAGCACACTGTATGGCGTATGCCCGTCTTCATTAGCCCAGTTTAGGAGCAGAAGGATATGTTAAACCCCATTTCATTTCATTTCCCTATAATCTGTTTGGGATACTTTGCTTTGTGTTTGGATTATAATTAAGATTTTATAATTTGTTTTGTATTATAATTTCAGATGTCAGAATGGTAAAGAAAATGAATCAGGCGAATGCAAATGTTTGCCATGTTGGAGAGGAACATCATGTGACCAAAAAGGTCAGTTAAAAAGGATTGATTTAAAATCTGCGATCTTCATTTGAGCGGTTTTGAATATTGTAGAACTGAAAGTTTGATCCCTAAAAGGAATGGGGGGTTGGATGGCTGAATGGTTAGCACATGCGCGTGGTTTGGATTCCCAGGTTGTACGTGACAAGGAGTAGGGTCGCCTGTCCAACCTTGTGGGTTTTCTCCGGGTCCTCTGGTTTCCTCCCAGTGCTAAAGACCCCTACGCGCAAGCGAATTATGAAAATAAAATTGAACCATATGTTAGTCCCAAAATGACCTAGTTTGCATTGAGTGGATGTTAAACCCCATTTCTCTCTCTCTCTGTCCTAAAAGGAATATTAGTACATAAATGGTTCATTTCCATTCAGTATTTGTGGGTAGAACGTTGACTCGTTAACCAGGAGGTTCCGTGTTCGATCCCTGCATTGGCTGAAAAAGTTTGTGGCAATTTGCTGGCATGGTTTCCCCTTGTCAGTGGTGTAAGATGGATGGTCTGGCAAGAGTTAATGTATAGTCGTTCGGATGGGATGAAAAACCAAGGTCCTGTGTACACATTGGCGTGCACATAAAAGATCCCTTGACAGTTAGAAATCGATATAAGAGTAGGCCACAGTGCTGCTGTCTGGGCAAAATTTCCCTCATAGCACACTGTATGGTGTATGCCCGTCTTTATTAGCCCAGTTGGAGCAGAACAGTAGGACGTTAAACCTCATTTCATTTCATTTCATTTCATTCAGTATTTTCAAAGAAATGATGAATTGAAAATGTGTTAACTTTCAATGTTCACTGCGGACGATATAGTATATGGTCGAAACCAGCCAGTACCACCTATATTTTTCACAGAATTATTTTGATGGGCCTCTTTATAATCTGGTTGAATCTGAGTCGGGAGATTATATACATGTACTGTTGATGGATGATTTTGTTTTCTTAATTAAGGGGGGTTGGATGGCCGAGTGGTTAGCATGCGCGCGCTGTATCATACGGTCTGTCATTGAGTCAACTGGCGTGGTTTTGAATCCCCGGTTGTACATGACAAGGAGTAGGGTTGCCTGTCCAACCTTGTGGGTTTTCTCCGGGTCCTCCGGTTTCCTCCCACTGCTAAAGACCCCTGCGCACAAGCGAATTATTGAAATAAAATTAAACCATATGTTAGTCCTGAAATGACCTAGTTTGTGTCGAGTGGACGTTAAACCCAATTTCTCTATTTCTCTCTCTTGAGTCAAGTGGCATAGTTTCGATTTTAATATAATTTTGTTTTCTCTTAGCCCTCAATCTAGTCTTTTGGATGAGACGAAAAACCGAGGTCCCGTGTATACATTAGAATGCACGTAAAAGATCCCTTGGCAGTTGGAATTCGATATAAGAGTAGGCGATAGTGCCGCTGCCCGGGCAAAATTTCCCTCATAGCACACTGTATGGCGTATGCCCGTCTTCATTAGCTCAGTTTAGGAGCAGAACAGTAGGACGTTAAACCCCATTTTATTTCATTTCATTTCACTTAGCCCTCAATCCCCATACTGGTTGTTGTCACCTATTAATAGGTCATTTTTATTGGTTTGGGGGGTTTGCTTGGCTGAATGATTTAACATGTGCAAATTAGATCAGAAGGTCTGTCACATCCTCGGTATCCCCAGTGTTTTCATTCCGTTCTACTCCACTATACCCTTTGTTAATCCATAGGGTTTCCACGATTTCAAATTATCTGCCCTGGCCTTGATTGTAGATGAGGTCTACGAACCAATCAAGAAACAGTTTACAAACCAGTCGTTTCGCGTTTGATTTTATAAGGGTAATAACCAAATTCATGTCCATTTAGTGAATGATTTATGTAAATAATGTATATATTTCTAAATCATCTATAATTAATTGTATTATCAAAATATGTAGTATGTTTCGCTGATTTCAAATATGTATAACATCTATATGTTTGACTTTTGTTATTATTATTACTATTCGTTCTTTATCTGAAATGTTTCATTCTGTTATGTTTATTATTATTGAACTTATACTTGGCAATTTAGTCCGGTCGTCATATTATATAATATTTGTTGTTAGTAAGTACGCATTTAGAATAATTTGAACTTCTCTCATTTAGGCTTACAACTAAACTTGTCCGATGAGAATTACTTACTTTTGCCAACTTCCTTTTCAATTAACGATGCATGGGATTGGTCGATAAAAATAGCGCAATCATCAAGGGCGAATAATTTGAAAACGTGTCTTCCCCATAGATTAACCCAGGGGTTAGTGGAGTAGAACGGAATGGACCCACTGGGATACAGAGGATGGGTCTGTCATTGAATCAAGTGACATTTTTTCGATTCCCTGTTTGTATGTAACAAGGAGTAAGGTTGCCTAGCCAACCTCATGGGTTTTCTCCGGTTTCCTCTTACACAAGATCCCTGCGTGCAAGAGATTTATTGAAATAAAATTGAACCATGTTACTCTTGAAATGATCAGTTTGTGTCAACTGGATGTTAATCCCCTTTTCTCACTCTATTTTTATTTTCTTTTTTTTTTTTTTTTTTTTTTCCAGCTAACAAAGCACCGATATTTGAACAAAAGAAACAATCAGTTTCATTGGAAACAAATTACAAAGAAAATGAGTTAATTTATGTCGCTATAGCTGACGATCCTGATTTAAATGACACTTGTACAGATGGTGTACCATGTCCCTGTGGACAGATTGAATACAGTATTTTTTCGGGGAATGAAGAAGACCTTTTCTCAGTTGATCCAGAACTTGGTATTGTTCGTTTAAATGGCAAGCAACTTCTTGACATCACTACTGACAGGTATCATCTTGTTTTGTTGGCCAAAAATATGTTTGTTAAGGATGCCATGGACAAGATGACCCTTGAAATAATTGTTAAAAGGGATTCATCCAATCTTTACACCCAGGAAGCTTATCAAGGATATGAAGGTGCTGATTTTCATGAAGACAAACACCGCCGAGTAAAGAGAGTAAGTAGTAATCACAATCTGGTTAAAACACAGATCCTATTTCATTCGTTTTTATAGTTCAAAATTTCGTTTTATTTGTCTTTACTACACTTGGATCTGGAAGAGTTGTTATTTAACTCGTGTTCTGAATGGTGTCGGGGATAAGCCAATGAAACGGTCTGTTACGGTGAGCTTTAGGCATGTTTTGCACGGAACTGTGGGTAATCCACTAGTAACATCAATGCTGATTGGTTAATCAAATGTCTGACATCATAGGGTCATAAGTCAGTCTTTTGACCCCTGACGTGACCTATCGCTATAACTTGTCAGATCTTCATGTAGTGTAGGCCATCGAAAGTATAAAAAAACGAAACGAAATATAGATCTGTATTTTAATCAGATTGTAATAATAATAGCCATTGTCTCGAGTCATAATAATATTGTCATTTATTAAGCGCATTAATTGTGAAAAAACAGTTTCTAAGGTGATGGTGGTTGTGATATTCACTAATTATTTACAGATCAGGGTTTTTTAAACAAGAATGTTTTGAGTTGAAATTTAAAATTGTTTCTTTATCAAAATTAACTAACATTTGATCCATTGTCTGTGGTAAATTATATCTAGAGTCATTGTCTATTGTAAATTAGATCTAGAGTCATTGTCCATCATAAATTAGATCTGGAATCATTGTACATCATGAATTAGATCTAGGGCCAGTATACATCATAAATTAGATCTAGAGTCATTGTCCATCATAAATTAGATCTGGAGTCATTGTACATCATGAATTAGATCTAGAATCATTGTCTACTGCCATCATGAATACTGTAAATTAGATCTAGGATCATTGTCTACTGTAAATTAGATATACAGTCATTGTCTACCATAAATTAGATCTAGACTCTAGAGTCATTGTCCATTACAAATTAAGATCTTGGAGTCATTGTCATTCATTCCATCAGTCATTGACACTTCTATGTAATACATCTCATACTATAACTTTCATAATTCTGAAAATGGTGTTTAAATTATGGGTAAACTTTTTTTGTTTTCTAGGCAGCAACAGACACTCCATCCAACATGACCTTTGATCTTCAAAAGCTTACTGCCATTACCGATATTTATGTAGGGCACCGCATCCAATTCAAACTAACGATTCAGTTTCCGGCTGGGACAACAGATATGCTTGTAGAGTTGTTTACCCCTGACAACAACACCATTGTCATGATGCTCTGTAACGTTAAAGTGGAGAGGGTTGGCGACAATCTGGCCTATACTGGAGCAGGAGACATTAAGTTGGAGTCCAAGAATAATTCAATCTTTGTAAGTCATGATTTTATGGGTGGGTATTAGTGCTATTAATGTGGGTGTGTGGGTGGGGTGGGGGTGGATGGCTGAATGGTTAGCGTGTGTGCGCTGCATCATAAGGTCTGTCATTGAGTCAACTGGCGTAGTTTTGATTCTCCGGATGTACCTGACAAGCAGTAGGGTCACCTGTCCAACCTCGTGGGTTTCCTCTGGGTTCTCCGGTTTCCTCCCACTGAAATAAAATTGAAATATATGTTAGTCCCAAAAAGACCTGGTTTCTCTCTCTCTCTCTCTCTCTCTCTCTCTCTCGCTCTCTCTCTCTCTCTCTCTCTCTCAAGTCATGGTTCTTTTCATTTAATTTTTTCGTCTTCTAATTTCAGTATGATTGGGCTGTAATTGACTTTGGTAATGTCACCAACAGTGATGCAAATAACGCCGAACATGACATAGTCATTACATATGAAGCTGTTATGATTCACAACGATAACACAGTGCAATCCACTACTTATTGGATTAGTGCCGGTGCTGAATTCAATGATGAAAATGAAGTCTGGATTGGTCAAGCCTCAGTTAGTCCTGGACCGACACCAGATGTAAGCTTATGTTATATTTACAACTTTGCCTCACAAATGACTTATTTGTTCCTGACAATGTGTGTGTGTGTGACAATCAGGGGTGCCGGGTACTAGGGTATACAAATGGTACCCTGCCCTTTTCTGGGGTATACATGTATACCCATGCCCTAATGATGAAAGTTTTCAACCTTTTTACTAGTCTTTTCATTTTTAAATGATAGATATGTAATTACTCTCTGGTCGGTCGCAAACCGACTCTCGTACTCTCATTATCAGCTATCAGTGCATGCCTTGGCCAGATGTCTATAAGTGGTTAATCGAGTTCATGAGATGATAAAGGCAAGTGATTTAGATTATAGTCTTGTTATAGTGTCTTGTCAACACTTGCTCCTGAATATGAGCTCTTGCAAGAATCGTGTCTCTAAATCTGCTGTCTCGTTCAAAAAGCTTATTCTATTTTCTTGATGAAGATTGGTGTATTGAATGTCAAATTAAAAAGAATTTTTTATGAGATGAATTGTTCATGATACGAAAATTTTGAATAATCCGGCTTTTGTCGCTTTCATTATCATGTATTTTAATGGGTTTTATGTTGGAATTTGGAATGCTATAGAGGCGCTCTAAACAGCATTCTCGGAATTGACAAATTTCAAAATTTTCTAGAGGCCGGGCGAAGAGGCCACCCCCCCCTTATTTTTGGTAGCCTGGCCCTTGCGCAGTTTCAGCGCCCCTGGTGACAAATGCCTTATTAAATTGTCTTTTGTTCTATTTTAGCCTTATGACTATGCCAATAATAAACCTGTGTTTAAATTCACTGGTCCAACTCAAATGGAAGCTGGGAGTTCGGCCATCTTTACCGTTGACATGACGATAAAGACTCCATCAATTGGACTTGGATTCGACGCTTTTGCTCCAATGAATGATACAAGTGTGATGACAATCTGTGGTGTTCAGATTCAAGGTGTCGGAGAACACTACTCCTGTGGTTTTGACTATACGACTGTACCTTCCACTCTTCATGCAGACGGCCAACCTAAAGGAAATGCTCGAGGTCATCTGGACATTGGTGTCGTAACTAATAAAGGTAGGGTTTGTTGATATTAACTTCCAGTAAACAACACCATTTCATTTCATTTCATTGACACTGCAGCACCATAAATCGACTTATTTTTTATTTTTTATTGTGGAAGTATTTTATGAAAAGTAGATTCTATTTGTTTGCAGGCATACGAGACGGAAACGATTCCCAGGTCCTAAATCACATTACAATTGAGATTGTGGTAAAGGTCTGGGAGGATGCCGTGCTCGGCGGGAATAATTGGATTGGTGCAGCTCTAGAACTTGGCTCCGATCAGATATGGTGTGGGCAGTATGAAGTGACAATAGTTGCAAAGGCCCTTGGTTTAGTGAGTATAGATTCTGTGATTCTAAATCTGTCCTTGTCTTTGTTGATTTTAGATTAAAATGCTCAGTGTTCGGAATTTGGGCATAGGCAAAAAAGAACTTTGGGATTTTTTTAGGCCTGGTCCCACCAGTCAAGGATTGACAAGAGAGAGAGATTATTAACATCCACCCAACACAAGTTATTTCGGGAGTCACATGACATAACTGTATTTCAATAATTCGCTCGAGTATTTGCCTTGGTGGGAACTGACGAAACCCACGATATTAGTGAGGTGTCATTATGTCTTGTCACATCCATCGAAAACCACTGTACTTGAGTCAATGATAGTCTTTAAGATCTAGAGTTAATGTGTCAGAAAATCATCCAATGTCAGACTTTATGATCTATGCTTCAGAAAATCATCCCTGTTGACCCGCCCCCTTCCTCCCATCATTGCATGCATATTAATAATATTGAAGTCAAAGATAATTGTAGTCTCTATCATCCATACAAATATTCTACGAATATTAGTAAGGATGGGTTGTCAACATTTGAGAATAATAGTTCATTGGCTAGATTATCCAGTCTTTTGTATTATCATGATCAAAGTCTAAGGGAGGTAACTAGTCTTAAAATAAGATGTCAACGCCCATGAAATTAATTTAAGAATTGACATATCAGAAATTCATTTGCATTAATTGCTAGTTCAATATCCAACCCTCTTAATTTTTTTATTGTAAAATTTCTCTCTTTATGGGCCATATCTTTGGGGGATTTTAATTAATCCTAATTCGGCGCCGCAGTTCATGTTTGTTTATAATAATGCATGAATTATGGGATTTATTTTGGGAAGGGGTGCAACTCTTATTTGACTTGGTCAATATACTGGATAATCAACCACATAAAAAATGCACGGACAATGAAACTTTTTGTCAAATATTGACAACGGTCCCAGATTCTCCGTACGTTGAAGACTAGGGAAGGTCTGAGTGACAGAGACTAAGTAAATTGTTGAATTGGGGTTAATGTGGAGTATTATTTTGATTGCATTATTAGGCAAACACTATACAAATTTTACATTTCATTTCACAATATTTAGCAGAATCAGTTTGATTAAAAGTTTTAAGTGCTGTTTTCGGTTTCAAATGAAATGGGGGAATCACAGTGGCTAAGTGGGTAAGACGCTGGCTCGCTAGCCTGGAGGTCGGGGGGTGTTCGATCCCTGCATTGGCCTAGAAAGTTCATCCAGATTTTCTGGTGTGGTTCCCCCTTGTCAGTGATGCAGGACTGAGGGCCTGACAAGGACAGCTGTCTAGTTGTGCGGATGGGACTAAAAAAACGAGGTCTCATGTACACATTGGCCCGCTGCCCGTCCAAAATTTCCCTCATAGCACACTGTATGGCGTATGCCCGTCTTCATTAGCCCAGTTCGGAGCAGAACAGGAGCTATGGTGACTAAAAGGGTAAGCAGACGCTGGCTAGCTAGCCTGTAGGTCACATATTTGATCCCTGCATTGGTTGAGAAAGTTCATTGGTATTTTCTGACATGGTTTCCCTTTGTCCATGGTGCAGGATGGAGGGCCTGACAAGGACGGCTGTCTAATCGTTTGGATGGTACAAAAAGCTGAGGTCCTGTGTATACATTGGCGTGCACGTAAAAGATTCTGTGGCAGTTGAAATTGATATAAGAGTAGGCCATAGTGCCTCTGCCTGGGCAAAATTTCCCTCAGCACACTGTATGGCATATGTCCGTCTTCATTAGCCCAGTTTAGGAGTGGAACAGTAGGTCGTTAAACCCCATTTCATTTCATTTAACCAAATTAATTTTAGGTGGTAATCTTTGTTGTTGTAACTTTAATTTCAGATCCCCCTTCCCAGTATAACTATTACCCCTCCTGCACCTGTTGATGTTTCTGTTAAAAATGCTGCCCAAATTGATATAGAATTTCTTATGCCGATTGGTACCAGCGATTTTAAATTAGATTTCAAATCACCCGAAAATAACGGGAAATCCATTTTGAATTTATGTGCATTAGTATTTGTGAGTTCCGGAGAAAACCTTCCCTGTGTGGACAAAGATAAAGTCGCAGAGTATGTCACATTGAGTGGCGATAATAGCGCAAAGAACGAGGCCATTCTGGACCTGGGCGTTGTCACGAATGTTGGAGATTGGGGTTATTTAAACGTTTCTCTCAACGACACAAAGAATACTATGAAGTTCAGACTTGTTGTCAAAGGAACGGATCATCCTCTATTTACGGTTTCATCAGCTCACACAATTGAAATTGGATTGACGAGGAATGGAAATAGAGAGTTGATTGGCAGTGGTATAGCAACAACTGCCGTGGCAGACCAGAATTTAACAGAAATTGTAAGTTGACCAAAGTTCGTTATTTAGTTAAACGGTACGGTAATATTCTGTTTGTCAGATTCTCTCAGTCTCATAATTACAGCAATTACCCAATCGATTATTGATGTATAATGATTACTTTTTGAACAGTGAGCGAAAAATTAAATGCTTGTAAATTGGACACTCATTATCAAAATTGAATGGTCAGCTTTATTACTGGACACAAGTACAAATTAGATGATTTTAAACGATTTTTAAATGATTTGTATGAATTTTTAAACAAAGATTTGATATTAAATGAATGTGAAAGAAATTAGTGCTAGATACACAAGATTAAATGATACCCAGGTTACAGTGTAGGTTGCATGTAGTTTGAATTCAAAGTTATCGGGGACAAAATTGGGAATCAAACAGCTCATGTATCATAATTATATTCAATACAATGACGATAGAAGAAAAATGTACGAAGCAATGGTAAAACTTGAACTTGATTTCGAAAACTTAAATGACAATGCCAAAATGATTAAGTAAATGAAATATTCTCGATATTGTGCAAAATACATTACAAAGTCGTTTAATATAAGACGAGAATCCTTATTTAATCCTAATTAATTGTACATAAATAATCTCTTAACAAAATAACTACAAATATTTATATTATTACATGTACTCATTTACTTTATTATTAATTATATTTAAAGTGACTAATAGGCCCAAGAGGCCGTGTGTTTGAACTATAAATTATAAAAATTTCTTTTTCTTCTTCTTCTTCTACATGTACCTTAATACAGATGTGATTAACATTTCAGGCAGTGACGCCCCCCATGAATTTGAAATACAAATATTCATCTGGGAATGTAAGATTTAATGAGGCAGTAACAGTACTGTATGAAATAACAACTCCAAAAGATGAGACCTTCCCCATGTTTGACATGGAGTTTATAGCTCCTAACAGCAGTGATACACCTAAAGTATCAATCTGTCGAGCCGAGGTGCACACCATTGGTAAAAATATCCCTTGCATGTCTAAAGATGGAATCAACAGTAAATGGCAGTATCTTTCTCAGTAAGTAAATGTGGTGTTTCAGCTCGGGGGGTGGGGGAATGGAGGGGTGGGGGGGGTGTCTAATGCATACACTTTAGATCATAAAGTCTATGTTTGAGTAGGTGGGGAGGGGGGGGGATTGATTTGTTAAAGCGGCCCATTGGATCACAGGGTCTGCCATGGTGGGGGGGGGGAGGAGTAATGGTCTAATGTGTACACTTTAGATCCTAAGGTCTATGTTTGAGTAGGGGGTGGGGGGTGATTGATTAGTTACCGCATGCCTGTTGGATCACAGGGTCTGTCATAGAGCTCAAGTACTGTGGTTTTGATTCCCCACTTATATGTGACAAGGACTTAGGGCTGCTGTTCCAACTTTGTGGGTTTTCTATGCGTCATCCTGTTTCATCGCACTGCTAAAGACCCCTACGTACACGCTGTATCATAAGGTCTGTCATTGAATCAACTGGTGTGGTTTGGAATCCACAGTTGTACGTGACAAGGAGTAGAGTCGCCTTTCCAACTTCGTGGGTTTTCTCCGCCGGGTCCTCCGGTTTCCTCGCACTGCTAAAGACCCCTACGCGCAAGCGAATTATTGAAATAAAATTGAACCATATGTTAGTCCCGAAATTACCTTTTTTGTGTTGAGTGGATGTTAAACCTCATTTCTCTCTATCTTTGAGTCAAGTGGAATGGTTTTGATCCCACACTTGTACGTGACAGGGGTAGGGTCAACTGCCTAACCTCATGGGTTTGCTTCCACTGCTCTCAGGGGATTGTGGGGGGGGGGGGGGGAGGGACACAGTGGCTCAGTGGGTAGCTGATGGTTCATTAACCAGATGGTCTCAAAAGAGAGAGAGAGAAATGGGGTTTAACGTCCACTCGACACAAACTAGGTAGTTTCGGGACTAACATATGGTTTAATTTTATTTCAATAATTCGCTTGCGCATAGGGGTCTTTAGCAGTGGGAGGAAACCGGAGGACCCGGAGAAAACCCACGAGGTTGGACAGGCGCCCCTACTCCTTGTCACGTACAACCGGGGATTCGAAACCACGCCAGTCGACTCAATGACAGACATTATGATACAGCGCGCACGCTAAACATTCAGTCATCCAACCCCCCAGATGGTCTCCGGTTCGATCCCACACTGGTATATGACAAGAGGTAGGGTCCCCTGTTCAACATCAGATTCGATCCCACACTGGTATATGACAAGAGGTAGGGTCCCCTGTTCAACATCAGATTCGATCCCACACTGGTATATGACAAGAGGTAGGGTCCCCTGTTCAACATCAGATTCGATCCCACACTGGTATATGACAAGAGGTAGGGTCCCCTGTTCAACATCAGATTCGATCCCACACTGGTATATGACAAGAGGTAGGGTCCCCTGTTTTACATCAGGTTCGATCACTGTGTTGGGCCCATTTTCCAGTCTGGTTTCCCCTAGTTTGTGTCCAATGGATGTTAAATCCAATCTCTCCCTTTCCCTCTCTCTCTCTTTCGTAATTTCCTGACCTGCTGATAAAAGCACCATAATATTCACATATATAATTCCAGATTTAACGGGACAAAATACGATCGAGCAACACTAAGTCTTGACTCTGTTTGCAACTTTCAAATTGAAACCAACGACACGGAAGACATGTTTGTTTTGGCTGGAGTTTTTAAACTTGAGAATCATCTGAGTACATCAGTTAGTGATTCTATGTACCTTAGTGCGGGAAGTATGTACACTTCAACCAAAATGTGGGTTGCTCAGTTAACACTTACAGTGGATGGATCAGCTCTTCCTGCTCCGGGGGTAAGTCAGATTTCTTTGGTCAACTTCTTGAAATGAGGTGTATTTATAAATAATCAATGTACAGTGTATGTGGGTATAATATGTTATTGCCTATGTCCGTCAGTCCATCCGTCCATCCATTCGGCTGTCTATCAACAATTGGCTTGTTAACGTAATAGAGGCCACAGTTTTTATACGCCCACATTTTCATGTGGATGTATATTGTCGTCGCCCCTGTTTGTGGACACTCTACAGGTCACAATTCTTATCCGATTTTGATGAAACTTGAAATATATCGGTTTATCTCCAAAAGATCTCGGCTGCTTTCGATATTGGCATGTATTGGATCGAAACTTCATAGATTATGTCCCCTGTTTGTACGAAAAATCACGTTTTTAGCTTGTGGACCCTATAGAGGTCACAATTTTTATCCGATTTTGTTGATACTTGAAATGTAAGTTTATAACCCAAAGATCTCGGTTCCTTTCGATATTCGTGCATATCGGACTGTAACTTCCTGAATTATTGCCCCTGATTGTACGAAAAATCGCGTTTTTAGCTTGTGGACCCTATAGAGGTCATAATTTTTATCTGATTTAAAAAACCATATTATTATATCACAGTCACACCCTAAGGACGACTGAGTTCGAATATCGTGAAAATCGGCTCAAAATTGACAGACAAAATGGCTGCCATTCGTTCTCAAATAGCGTAAAAATATGGTACATGTATATCAAGGTTGTGGACCCTATAGAGGTCACAATTTTTATTTGATTTTATCTCTCTCTTTCATTGTATTGTGTTTCTATTACAGACTCCACTTGAAACATTTGTACTTAAATCTGATGAGTTTGCTGCTGGAGCTTCTCCAGTTGGTTATCCTGGAAAATACGAACTTACCATCAAAACTGTACCAGGTGAAACAGTAGATTTAACAATAACGATTGACGCCACCACCAGTACATCATTGAGTATTTGTAATGTTCGAATAAAATCAAAAGGTTACAATTTACCATGTGTTGATACAACAGTCAACAAAGATGTAGTCATTTCTGAAGACCCTGTAACTGGTTTGAAGAATCAAGCTGTCCTTGCTCTTGGCTACGTCACCAATGTCGGTGAGTTCATTTGATTTTTATACCCCCAAATTTTCATGTGGACGTCTATTGTCATCGTCCCCGTCCATCCGTCCATTCACATTTGTATGTGGACACTCTACAGGCCACAAGTTTATATCCAATTTTGACAAAACTTGAAATATAGGTTTATCTCCGAAAGATCTCGTTTCCTTTCAATATTGGCATGTATCAGACTGTAACTTCATGGATTATGGCCCCTATTGTACAAAAAATCAAGTATTTAGCTTGTGGACACTCTAAAGGTGACAATTTTTTATCCGATTTTGATAAAACTTGAAATGTATGTTTATAATCCAAAGATCTCGGTCACAATTTTTATCAAAATTTTAAAAAAACATTCAATCATATCACTGTTACACCATAATGAAGGTAGATTTCCAATTTCAAAAAAATCTGTTGGCGCTCCCTATACCCAAATAGTGTTGAAGTATTTAATATCAAGGTTGTGGACCCTGATGATCTCGGTTCCTTTTGATGATCACGCATATTGGACCATAATTTCATGGATTATGGCCCCTGATAGTACAAAAAAATCGCTTTTTAGCTTGTGGATCCTCTAGAAGTCCTGATTTTTATCTGATATAAAAAAACATTTAAATGTATCACTGTTTCATCAGAATGAGTGTTGAGTTCGAATTTCGTGAAAACTGCCTTACAAAATGGCTGCTACTTGTACGCAAATAGTGTAAAAGTATGTAATACCTTGGTTGTAGACCTTGTAGAAGTCACAATTTTTATCCGATCTTGATGAAACTTTAAATACATGTTTATATAGAAAAGATCTTGGTTCCTTTCTATAATCGTGCATATCAGACCGTAACTACCTGGATTATAGCCCCTAATTGTACAAAATATCATATATTTTTTTAGCTTATTTCCTGTTCATCTCTTGCAAAATGAGGGCGTATATTGCATGGCAACCGCTGGTTTGATTTGTTTGTCACTGAATAAAAATTTGATCATTAGTTACTGTCCCAGATGTGACGAAAGAATCCATCTGATTAAAATACAGATCTATATTTGGTTTCGTTTTTTTATACTTTTGATGGCCTCTACTACATGAAGATCTGAAAAGTTGTAATGGGAGGTCATATCAGGGGTCATATGACCGCCTTTTGATCCTATGACATCAGGCATATTTAATTAACCAATCAGCGTTGATGTTTGTAGTGGGTTACCCACAGTTCTGTTTACATCACTCCCAAAAACTCGCCGTAACAGACCGTTTCATTGGTTAATCCCTCACTTCAACAAGAATGCCCATAATATAACAACTCATCCAGATACTAGCGTAGTAAAGACAAGTAAAACGAAACGAAATAGGATCTGTGTGAATGCGGGTTATATAACAACTCTTCCAGATCCTAGTAAAACAAAATTTTGAACTATAAAAAACGAAACAAAATAGGATCTGTGTTTTAATGAGATTGCGAAAGGATGAAAAGAACTGACATGGATTTCTTTGATATTATTTTTTCAGGCGATACACCATCTGATGCTGGTAATTCAACCTTTGATGATAATACATTACTATTGGAGATCACTGTTCAGTCTAAAGCCACAGCAACACCAGGTTCCCTGCCTTTCACAATCGCGGCTACTAACACAGATAAGTCTACTGCTACTGCCCAGAACCATGATGTTATTGCTAGTCAGGATGGCATTAATACGGTGAGGAATTGTATTGTTTCTTTTTAAAGAAAATCTTGGGACTTAAAAATCCAAAGACAAATTGTATCACAGTAGTGGATTTGTTTATAGGGCAAATCCTTTCATCTGAACGGCAAAATTTTCCCTTTAGGTTACAGATTTTTTGACGTACGGATCAATCCTAATGCGTAGCAATAAAAAAGTCCTATTCATGTAGGATTTGTCCTATGGACTAACTAGAACTTCTTCTGAAAATTGGATGGCCGAATGGTTAGCACATGCGTGCTGTATCATATGGTCTGTCATTGAGTCTACTGGTGTGGTTTCAATTCCCCAGTTGTATGTGACATGGGTTTTCTCCGGGGCCTCCGGTTTCCTCCCACTGCTAAAGACCCCTACGCGCAAGCGAATTATGTAAATAAAAATTAAACCATATGTTAGTCCCGAAATGACCTAGTTTGTGTCGAGTGGACGTTAAACCCCATTTCTCTCTCTCTCTCTCCCATAATGTATCCTTAAGCCAGGACACTACCTAACTTGTCATTTAGTGCCATGTAATATTATTATGTGATGTCCCAAATCAGATTTGATAATTTGAGCGTAAAATGTTAATTGGTTGCCATGGAAATGGAGGCCATACTGGCTTTTTTTTATATATTCCAGGTGGGTATGTTAGGAAATCAAAATCTTTACCAATTTGATTGACACAAACTATTTGTGATTTTTAATAACATTTATAGACATTAAAGAGTGCAATAAGGCATTAATTTGACTATATTGGGCAATTTTAGCTGATATCAAAATTTGACAGATCAATTTATACAGAGTGTTTTATAAGATAGTGTCCTGCCTTAAACATGCATTATGCAAGAGTTAAATCTGCCTATTGCAGGTTTTTCCCTACACCTGAAATGTTTTCTAAATTATTAATTAGACATTAATTAACTGATCCAGGCCATAATCAACTCACAAGGCCATCGGATTTCTCCAATATTAAATAGATTAGAACGGTTTAGCGGAGTTTAGCCATATTTTAATTTAATTTAAAAATGGAGGAGGTAGACTTAGCTTCAAACAACCAGTATGGTGGCTGCAATTATTGCACACGTCTTGTCAAACCTTCAAAGGTTAATATCTTCGCTCGCAATAAAGTAATTGGAATGAAATTTTCAAATTATTTGTTTTACATTATCTATTTTCGAACTATTACTGTATAGCAAGAATGTCCAGTTCTTTATCTAAATCTTACATAATGTATCTTTAAAGTTGCAATTGCAAATTTTCAAGTTATATTTTTAAAATAAAGCCTTACAATAGATGGTATCCATAAACAGTCCTACCTTGTTAAAGAATAATCCTATTAATCCTATAATTCGCTATTGCCAGCTGAGAAATTGGCAAAAATATCATTTTTAACTTCAAATTCCAACGTTGGAAAATGGCTGCCCCATGTTGTCAATAGCAAAACAGGGGAGGTAATTGTGTTGTTATTTCCTGTGTCATAGATTTTTAAGGGTGGGAAATAATGCCCATGATCGTATAATAGTGATTTGATAACCTATTGAGCAAAAGACATAGAAATAATTATGTTTTGACTTTCTTAGAAAATTTGAAATTCTTGCTTTAATGTATTCAAAATCACAAGGATGAGCAACTTTAATTTATAAATCAGAAATCTGTTACAAGTTTGGTACATACAAGAATCAACAACTTTAATTTATAAATCAGAAATCTGTTAAAAGTTTTAACAAGGAACTGTTTAAATATTGTTTCAGGTTTGGTACATACAATGATGTTGGTACGCTGGATATTGGTTATGCCTGTAATATTGCGGTTGATACAGAAAATGCAGAAGCTAACAGAGTAAGATTTTTATCACTTGCTATCGGTTTCAGGGGAGGAACCAGGATTTTGAGAAGGGGGGGGGGCGTGCTGCCCCCACTTAGGAGTGCGAAGCCCGGCCCTCGGTGGACGGACTGACAGGCAATCAACCAAGTCATCAACGGACTCGTTTCGGAGTAAATTACGACAGGGATAACTACCATTTTAAAGTATTTTTGTTCACCTTTCCCGTGAGAATTATGGGGCAAAAAATTGTTCGCCACCACAAAAAAATGGGGGGGGGGCATGCGCTGGGTGCACCCCCACCCCCTGGATCTGCGCCTGGGTTTCAAAGTTTTTAGGGAGAATGGCGAAAAACTGAGGTATTGTGTACACTTTGGCGTGCAGAAAACATAATCCTTGACTGTTGGAATTTAGTGCTGCTTTCTGGGCAAAAACCTCGGTTTTTCGTCACAACCGATCGACTAGACAGCTGTCCTTGTCAGGCCCTCCGTCCTGTAGAACCATGCAGGGAAATCCTGAGAAACTTTCTCGGCCTACACCGGAAGCAAACCCATGACTTCCAGGCTTACTCACTTAATCACCTGGCACTGACAATTCCTGACAGTTGGAATTTGATAAAGAATAGGTGTCAGATTTCCCTAATAGATGAATGGACAATCTATTTCACGCCTCAATTCTGTAGTCTAGGCAGAATTACGCTCATAGCATACACATTGGCATGCACAAAAAAGATCCCTTGGCAGTTAGAATTCGATATGAGAGTAGGCTATAGTGCCGCTTTGTCCAGGCAAAACTTCCCTCGTCAAAGCACACTGCTTGGCGTAATCCAGTCTTCATTAGCCTGGTTAGTAGGACAGTAGGACGTTAAACCCTATTTCATCATCTATTTATATAAGGGAGATAATCAAATTCAGGGGCAGATAATTCGTCTGATATATCTGGGTCTATAAATAGTAAAGGTAAGGATCAATCATCCTATACCATCCCTGTTTTCATCGAATATCAACACCATTCCCATAATGCACACAGAGATCCATCTACTTCATACTTCGAGAATAAATCTCTGTCTTTATTGGCCGTCATATCAAAAAATTAGTATATTGCTTTATAATGCGATTCTACTCCGTTTCACATCTAGCATACACACAAAGACTAAATAAACCTATTCAATTCCATTAAATGGAAGCAGAATAAATACTTCTCAAAATTCTTGAAGTATACTTAGTGGTTTCGACTAAAATTGTCGATTTAGGACTAGACCGACAGCGTAAGTTTAGTAGGTACCAGACCAACAGATTGCGAAATCCCTCAAAAAACGATCATTGCCTTTTGCCAATTAGATGTTTTGTAATTTGTGTTGCAGATCCGAGTGGAAGCGTATGTGAGGATGTTAAACAACGATACCTTGACTGATGGGATGACCGTATCATTAAACGCAGCAGTAAATTTCAACGATCAACAAATCTTTATTTCACAAAAGCAACTGACTGTTAAATCAGTAGAAAATTTTAGCGATTTGATGATGGTAAGTTAGTAAAATCTACTGCATTATAGTTTTTTTTTTTTTATTCTAGATTTAAATGTCAACATTAGGCCATGTAAAAACCAACAATTCTTGATATATCAAAACAGGTTGGCTTATGTTAAATGCCAGATATTAAACATAACAGGCCGAAATCAGTTGAAATACATGTTAATCTTGAACAATCTTATTAAAACACAGATCCTATTTCGTTTCGTTTTTTATAGTTCAATATTTCATTTTACCTGTCTTTACTACACAAGGATCTGAAATAGTTGTTATATAACCGGCATTCTAGTTGCTGTGAGGGATTAGCCAAAGAAATGGTCTGTTACAACGTGTTCTTGGCGTGCGATGCATGGAACTGTGGGTATTCCAGTAGAAACATCAACACTAATTGGTTTATCCCTGACTTGACCTTCCCCTACAACCAGTCAAATCTTCATGTAGTGTAGGCAATCGAAAGTATAAAAAAAAAAAAAAAATGAAATAAAGATCTGTATTTTGATCAGATTGAATCTTGAAGGAAACAAATTATTTTATTGAGCTTTTCCAGACTGATCCCATTGGTGACAAAAATATGTTATTTAAGAGCTTTCGCAATGGATGGCTTAAAGATAAGGGTTAGTCCTGAAGGATCCCTATACTTGTTTACATTATATGTATATCTTTCGATTCCCCGGTTGTACGTGACAAGGAGTAGGGTCGCCTGTCCAACTCCGTGGGTTTTCCCCGGGTCCTCCGGTTTCCTCCCATTGCTAAAGACCCCTACGCGCAAGCAAATTATTGAAATAAAATTGAACCATATGTTAGTCCCGAAATGACCTAGTTTGTGTTGAGTGGATGTTAAACCCCATTTCTCTCTCTCTCTCTTTCTCTGTATATCTAATTTGGACTATTTCAGGATAACCTAACTTTAAGCAATACCAGTGTCATCAGTTTAAACAGCACTTTTCCTTCTCCAATTCCAATGACAATTGCTGAGGTTCAAATATTACCAATTCTTGTCAGCATTCCACCATTTACCGTATCAAAAGTTCAGTTTGACGTAGATCTGCCTGTGACACCCACGTCGGCATCAATAACCTTCAAGAGCCTGAAAATTGTAGGTTCCGGGCCCAACACGTGTAAATATGGCTATGAAGAAGATTTTAAAATCACCACAGTGTCAAGTCAAAATACAACTCAGATTAATAAAGTCTATGTTGATATGGGTATTGTTTCAAATATAGGTAAGGGCTGTTCCTTTTCTAAATTTCAGAAAGAGAGTCTCGTAGAACGCTTTTTTTAGGGGAAGTCGCTGTGAAATGAAATGGGGTTTAACTCCCTACTGTTCTGCTCCTATGCTAGGCTAATGAAGATGGGCATACGCCATACAGTGTGCTATGAGGAAAATTTTGCCCAGGCAGCGGCACTATCGCCTACTCTTATATCGAATTCCAACTGCCAAGGGATCTTTTACGTGCATTCCAATGTATACACGGGACCTCGGTTTTTCGTATCATCCGAAGGACTAGACAGCTGTCCTTGTCAGGCCCTCTGTGCTGCATCACTGACAAGGGGGAACCACGCCGGAAAATCTGGATGAACTTTCTCGGCCAATGCAGGGATCGAACACCCGACCTCCAAGCTAGCGAGCCAGCGTCTTACCCACTTAGCCACGTGATCCCCTGTGACTAAATGAGTAGGTTGCTGGCTCACTAGCCTGAAGATCTCATGTTCACTCTTGTCCTGTTTACACATTGTCATGAACGTAAAAGAACCCTTCAATATAAGAGTAGACTGTAGGGACGTTGTCCGAGCAAAATTTCCCTCATACCACACTGTATGGCGTATGCCCGTCTTCATTAGCCCAGTTGATGCAGAAAAGTAGGATGATAACCCCATTTCATTTCCAGGGATGTAGTCACGCCGGGTGGCAACAGGCGGTGGACCCGGCACTATTTTTTGCCGCCCAACACAAACTTAAAATCAAAGAAAGCCGTCCAGTCGTATTTAAACCCATTCGTCCTTCTCTGTACACAAACTCAGCGCTCGAAATTTACCACGGCAAACGGCAAAGCCATGATAAAAGCCGACGCAAACCATGTCTGCCACAGCATGATTGATTTTTGTGTGCCGTAGTAGACCCTATCATCCCAAATTAGTTTAAAGAAAGAAGTATTTAAGACATCTATAGTTGGATTCATATCTTCGGTTCATGCTCTGGTGAGTTTACTGTCAGCATTTTCGACAAGCAGTGCTGGGCAGTTTGTACGTTCTGAGCAAAGTTATGAAATGAAATGAAATGAAATGGGGTTCAACGTCTTACTGTTCTGCTCCTAACCTTGGCTAATGAAGACGGGCATACGCCATACAGTGTGCTATGAGGGAAATTTTGCCCGGGCAGCGGCGCTACAGCCTGCCCTTATATGATTTTAATTTTATTTCAATAATTTGCATGCACGTAGGGGTCTTTAGCAGTGGGAGGAAACCGGAGGACCCGGTAAAAAAACCCACGAGGTTGGACAGGCGACCCTACTCCTTGTCACGTACAAGCGGGGATTCGAAACCACGCCAGTTGACTCAATGACAGGCCGTATGAAACAGCACGCAAGTGCTAACCATTTGGCCACCCCCCTCAAAATCACAACCATCTGATGGTTGAGTATGAACTTGTCATGCGAATATATGTCTTATTAATAATTATATAACATTTGAGGCCAAAATAAAGCCCTGCGATAGACAGATTTATCTCTTACATGATGCATCTTTAAGCAAGTTAAACCAATTAGCTGAAACAATATTTTTTGTTTTCCAGGTGTAACACACCGGCAGAACATAGCCACTCCAGAAGATGACATAATTTATATGGAACTAGAGGTACAGTTGGCGGACAGTACAGCAAATGATCATAACGCTGAGCTATGGATTGGACTCGGCACGAAAGTTACCACGATTATCGTCATATCGGAATATAAAGTCCTAATAACCAGAACTGGCACGGAACAACCCGAATTCAACTTGACAGCAACCTACGACTCAGTGAATTCCACAAGGTATGTAGAATGTTTTGATGTAATCCAGTAGACGTGGTACAAGGGTTAATCAGCGAACTGGATGTATGAGATGTGTTGTTGACGTTTGGGAAAGTAGGACGAGGGGAAATGTGTAGGGAGTGAAGTGCTGTAAAGGGATAGTTAGATGTATTATGAATGGTTAGAGTGGCTGTGGTGTTACGGTGAAATACTATGCCGCCACCGTAACACCACAGCTTTATGATTTGTTAGACAGGAGTGATGAAATGGGTGTCAACAACTGGGTATGCTGGTACCGTCGCAACGTAGCCGTGAAATATATATTGTGGGGGGGAAGGGCGGAAACAGAAAAATATACAATGTTGACAGTATGTGCCAGGCATGAGGCTGCGCAGACCAAGCGGCAGCTCGATAGGGAGTGTGTGGGAGGGTCACCCTCATAAAAAAATTTTTTTTTAAATTTCAGTTTTCTGTAAGCAGTGAAAACACTATTTTGGCATTGTTTGCGGGGTTAAACCTAAAAATCACATTAATACACCTATTGCATGATATTGTGAAACTAGCTGACGAAGACAGCTCGGGCGGCGATTGTTCGACTCGGGGCTGCTCTGTCAGTATCTAACAAACACATTTAGTTGGCGTACAACTTTTAAAAACTGAATGTCAGTATGGTATTTCTCACATAATTGGTTATCGCAAAAACAGAGTAAACTGAAAGCGAGTAATCTCGACTCAAACCTATAGTCTATAGCCTACTTACGTTACTACACTCGTCACTAGGCTTCCTATATTATTGTTTGTGGACGGTTTACTACTCAGTGATAAGCCTGCGCCGCAAAAAGAGGTCTCGCCTTTTATTATTAGTATAATGACTTCCTCATGTGCGGCAGGTTAGTTTGCTTCTAAAAACACTGTTTTCCGTTCCAAAAAATACAAAAGTAATTTTCTACCAGATGACCATGGTTCTTTTCACCGAGACTAGATAATTTCTCTCGGTGTAAGGATATAGCTATGGATAAGTTCATACAAGGTCAATAAATCCGCGGTCACTTCGAGTCACATTGTTGAGAAAATAAACCGATGGGTTTGTTTAGTAGCAAATCGAGCGTGAATCAACTGAGTTTGTAATGAAAAATTTTTGAGTGATATGTATGAACTGTCTTCACACATTCGGTTTATAATTAGCGATACACAGGTACAGTGGCAAGTGTTGTACTTCACAGACTGTTTACCTCCGAACTACCTCCGCACGAAATCCCCGATTTGGGTACTTGTTAAAAGAAAAAGAAATAGTACCTGTGCGCATGCCAGTAAAAAAAAACCTAAGAGTTCGCGCATAAAAATGCCCGAACGTACCAGGCGCCAGGTCATCCAGGGAAATTGTTTACTTGGATGGATAACTGTTATAGTAAATAAAATAGCGGGTCATTCCAAGTCAAATCACCTTGATATAATATGACTGATTCAATTTTGGCATTTTCAGCAAAAAGGGGCGTGAGTGGTCATCAACTGACTGGTCAAAAATTTTATGTGAACGTATATTGTTGCCGCCCCTGTCCGTCTGGACGTACGTTCACATTTGTTTGGGTGCACTCTACAAGTCACATTTTTTATCAGATGTTGACGAAAATTGAAATATAGGTTGATATCCCAAAGATCTTGGTTCCTTTCAATACTGGCATGCATCAGATCTAACTTCATGGATTGTGACCCACTGATGGACGAAAAATCACGTTTTTAGCTTGTAGACACTCAAAAGATCACAATTTTATCCGATTTTGATGAAATTGTAAATATATGTTTATAACCCACAGATCTCGGTTCCTGTCAATATTCCTGCATATCAGACTGTAACTTCCTGTATTATGGTCCTTGATTATACAAAAAATCTGATTTTTAGTTTGTGGTCCCTGTAGAGGTCACAATTTTTATCCAATTGTAAAAACTGTTCTAATATATCACCATTACACCCTAATGACGACTTTGTTCAAATCTCTTGAAAATCAGACCGAAACTGTGGGAGAAAACCCACGAGACTGTACAGGCGACCCTACTCCTTGTCACGTATGCAAGGTATTTATGGGACAAGGTACACTGACGTCCATCTTTATCCTTGTAACATGGACGTGAAATCTTCCTTTGTTCTTTCGATGAATAAGCAGATTGTTTTCCCTCTAGTAGATTGGGTGGGGCTTAACCGTGCAATAACTAGACATGTTCAATGTTATTGCACACTTTTGCTGGTTTACACTAGTTTTAGTAGAAATCATATAGTGAAGTGGGGTGGGTTTTCTGTGCAATAACAATAAGCATGGGGAATCCAAACCACGCCAGTTGACTCAATGACAGACCTTATGATACAGCGTGCACATGCTAACTCACTACATGGTTGGGGCAGAAAAGTAGGACATTGGTTATATACGTAGCGCCATGGAAAACGCATCACTTTTTTTCCCAAATATTTTATTACTAGGTGGTTTTGTATGTAGAATATTATGCAATACTATGAACTATTGTTTCACACAATGCTCCCAAACGCAAAAAATATCGGCCCGTGTGCACAAAAAAAATTGCACGAGATGCACATGAAAACCCCAATATTCATGTGCAGCATTGTGTGTGAGCCCTTTAAAAGCATGTTTTCAACTTAATGTGCAGTACATGAACTGTGAAACGTCAGTCTGTCCTCATTTGTTGTTGGACGTGTGAAGGAATCGAGCTAGAGATGCCGAGACTTACTGAAAATCAATGGAATGAAGCCATGGGAATGTCCAGGGCTGGCATGTCTACACGGGCTATTGCCAGACACTTCAATTGTCATCAGTCCAGTATTGTATGGTTGGTGGAACATGTTCGAGTTACTGGATCAACACGTGACCGTCAACGTCCTGGTCCACAACGCGTTACAACCCAGGCTCAAGACCGCTACATCCGGGTCACTCATCTGCGTGACAGATTCTGCCCAGCGGCTCGAACAGGTGCAGCAATCGATGGAAGACAAGGACCAGTAAGTGCCAACACCGTAAGACGTCGTCTAAGAGAAGTAGGACACCTTATATTGGAGCTATCCTCAGGGATCATCACCGTCAGCGGCGTTTGATATGGGCTCAAGGACACCAGACATGGAGAATGGAGAAGAGTAGACTGGCCAATTATGCTCTTCAATGATGAGAGTCGCTTTCATCTTTATCACGCTGATGGCCGTCAACGTGTGTGGAGACGTCTTGGGGAACGACTTGCAGACTGCTGCGTCTTCTAAACGAATCGATGGGGTGAGGGAATTGTAATGGTGTGGGGAGGCTTCACATTTCATCACTGGACCACCCTACTCATTTGCAGGGGTCGCGATAATGCTGTAGCCTACCGTGATGATGTCTTGCAACCAATTGTTGTTCCGATGTTTCGAGCGCACCCACAACTTCAGCACTTCCAACAGGATAATGCACGTCCACATACCGCCCGTTTTAGTATGGACTTCCTGGCTGCTAACAACATCAATGTCTTGGACTGGCCAGCCATGTCTCCGGACATGGCACCGATAGAACATGTCTGTATCGGAGATCACAGATGCACACCATTGCTGCTTTAGAAGCTGCTCTTGTCCAAGAATGGAACAATTTGCCCCAGGCCTTCTTTCAAATATTGGTATATTCCATGTGACAAGGCTGCACAGCGTGCGTAAGAGCCCATGGAGGACACACGCGCTACTGACATCTGTGTCGTACTTTTGGTTTTGACCCCTCTGACTTTGTACCGTTGATCACAATAAGAAGCAAAATAAATAAGATATGTTTACAGGATCATTTTGTTATACGAAAAACTAAGTGATGCGTTTTCCATGGCGCTCAGTATATTTATAGCATAGCTTTCATGAGTTAACGGGTTTAAACACCGAGGCCGTAGGCTGAGATGTTAAACCTGTTAACAAATGAAGCGTGCTATAAATGACTTGTAACATTGACACCTGCTCAACATGCTTGTTGTTATTGCACAGAAAACCCACCCCACTTCTCTATATGATTTCTACTAAAACTAGTGTAAACCAGCAAGAGAGTGCAATAACATTGAACATGTCTAGTTATTGCACGGTTAAACTCCACCCAATCTACTAGAGGGAAAACAATCTGCTTATTCAACAAAAAGAACAAAGGAAGATTTCCAGTCCATGTTACAACACCAGTCAAACCCCTTTTATTTTCCTAATACCCTATATATATATAGTTAATGATATAGTTTCGATGGCTGAATGGTTAGCGTGTGCACGCTGTATCATAAAGTCTGTCATTGAGTCAACTGGTGTGGTTTCGAATCCCCGGTTGTACGTGACAAGGAGTAGGGTCGCCTGTCCAACCTTGTGGTTTTATCCGGGTCCTCCGGTTTCCTCCCACTGCTAAAGACCCCTACGCGCAAGCGAATTATTGAAATAAAATTAAACCATATGTTAGTCCCGAAATGACCTAGTTTGTGTTGAGTTTACGTTAAACCCCATTTCTCTATGTCTCTCTATTGTGCCTGTTATTTCCAGTACACTTGTTGAGGTAGACATCAAACTAGAACATGCTGAAACATCAACAGCAGAAATGCAGAATACAATACTCAAGCTGAATGTCCCACCGTATTTAACATATAAAGATGTTCTCTCTGTAAACCCTACAGCACCTGCATATACATCCAACATAATTGATGATAACGCTGTTGAAATGCTGGTAAGTAAGCCTATAGTATGAATAGATGTAGCCCAATCTGATTAGAATACAGATCTGTATTTCGTTTCATATTTTTTATAATTTCGATGGCCTACACTACATGAAGATCTGACAAGTTGTACTCGAATGTCATGTCAGGGGATCGTACAAGCGACTTTTGACCCTATAATGTCAGAATTTGATTAATCAATCAGCGTTGATGTTTCTAGTGGGTTACCCACAGTTCCATGAACCTCAAGCCAAAAACTCGCTGTAACAAACCGTTTCATTGGCTAATCCTTCACATCATTCAGAACACCGGTAATATAACAACTCTTCCAGATCCCAGTGTAGTAAAGACAAGTAAAACGAAATTTTGATCTATAAAAAACGAAATGAAATGGGATCTGTGTTATAATCAGATTGAAATGTAGCCCATCATTTGATTGCGGATGCTCTAGAGGCTAAAGTTACCATCTGGTGAGAAGCTGGTATAAGTAGGCCTATAATATGAAAAGTGATAAATGTAGCCCATCTATTTGTCGTTCACAGTTCATTATGTATGTTCTAAAGGCTAAAACATTAGCATATTAAAGACTTTTTGAGTGCAGTTATAAAAGATGCATTATTTAAAAGCTAAATTTGACTATTGCTCGTAAGTAGGTCTGTAATATGAATATTCATAAATGGTAATCCATTCGTGTATCTGTCCGTCTCTCAAAATAGATTGTGGATACTCTAGACGCTCAAGTTACCATCTGATTGGTTTGAAATTATACAGACTGCTCGTAAGTAGACCGATTCCCCGGTTGTACGTGACAAGGAGTAGGGTCGCCTGTCCAACCTTGTGGGTTTTCTCCGTGTCCACCGGTTTCCTCCCACTGCTAAAGACCCCTACGCGCAAGCGAATTATTGAAACAAAATTAAACCATACGTTAGTACCGAAATGACCTAGTTTGTGTCGAGTGGACGTTAAACCCCATTTCTTTGGTTAATCAAATGTCTGACGTCATAGGGTCAAAAGCCGCTTGTATGACCTCTGACGCGAACTTCCACTACAACGGGTCAGATCTTCATGTAGTGTAAGCCATCAAATGTATTAAAAACAATCTGTATTTGAATCAGATTGATAGAAGGTTGGTTTGTGATATGCTTGACTCTGTTTTTTATCACTTAGTACATTTTTTAACTTGGGAGTTGGATGTCTGAATGGTTAGTGTGTGCACATTGCATCATAAGGTCTGTCGTTGAGACAACTGGCATGGTTTCGATACCTCTGTGTTACGCGACAAGGAGTAGGGTCGGCTGTCCATCCTCGTGGGTTTTCTCTGGATCCTCCAGTTTCCTCCCACTGCTAAAGACCTTCGAGCAAGTGTATTATTGAAATAAAATTGAACCATGTGTTAGTCCCGAAATTACCTAGTTTGTGTCGAGTGGACGTTAACCACTTGTGACTTATAGTTCATTTAAGAACTGATCGGATGACTTTGCTGCATGTTTCATTGCCTGACAATCTATTTTTTTTTCAGTTTGATAAATTCTTCTTCACCGATAGTTTAGAAATGACCATTTCCTTAGAAGTAAATACGACATATAAGGTACCGCTAGGTGTCGCTACTACTGCGGCTGTCACAGGTGTAGAGTGTGTTGCAAATGTGATTGCGCGAACACTACCAAGCGTGTTAGATGGTACAAAAGACTACAGTTCAGGTTTCAAGCCTGTTAATTTTACCTTAGCAACAACTGTGGATAGCGGAAGTAAGTTTGAACAAGTCTTTCATTTCTTTACTTAGATCCCTCAAATTATTTCTTTATTAGATTATTGGGAGCCACAGTGGCTAGGCGGGTAAGACGTTGGGTCACTAACCTGGAGGTCGGGTGTTCATGGTTGGGGGGGGGGGGGGGATGGAGTGACTGAATTGTTGAGTCAACTGGGGTGGTTTCGATTCCCTGGTTGTACATGACAAGAAGTAGGGTCGCCTGTCCAACCTTGTGGGTTTTCTCCTGGTCCTCCAGTTTCCTTCCACTGTTAAGGACCCCTACGTGCAAGCAAATTATCGAAATAACATTGAACCATATGTTAGTCCTGAAATGACCTGGTTTGTCTCGAGTGGGGTTAAACCCCATCTCTCTCTCTCTCTCTCTTCTCTCTCTCTCTGTAAAAATGTTGGCCTGTAGCAACTACTGAGTGTATTGACAAATATAGTTTATTAAGCCTTCTCAATGCTAATTTTGTTTTTAACCCTTTGGTACCTGGTACATGTAAACATTAACTACCCAAGTTTCCATGAAGAAAATTAAACAAAAGTGATATAGGTCATATAGATACATTTCCCTGGACAGCCCAATACCCCCCTAAAGTGATATAGTTGATACCGATGCATATCCCTGGGCACCCCAAAACCCCCCAAAAGTGATATAGTTCATACCGGTACATATCCCTGGACAGCCCAATATCAATACCCCCCAAAAGTACTGTCCCTTAGACTATGAGATATGTGAATACCTCTCTGTTTGAGGAGCCCTAACGTTAAGAGTAGATTTTGAGCAGTCCAAACACCAAAGGGTTAATGATAAATCTTCATCATGGTATTTATGTTTATTTTGCAGCACCTTGTGCAGCTACCCCATTGACCAATGTAGTGCCTTGTTTGTTGACATCACAAGGAGATGATATTTCTGGTCCAGAAAATGGTTTAATTGGATCGGGCACTGCGGATGGTAAGTTTTCATTCTTTTGTAGAGTTCATACGATAACTGAAAATTTAAATATAATTTTTAATTTGACTAAAATATGGTTTTCAAGGTACTTCAGAGTTATATTCTTTGACAAGTCTTCATTAGGCCAATCAATGCAGAAAAATAGGCCGTTTAAACCCATTTCATTTCTCATCCATTTGTTATTCCAGGTTGGGTTCCACCAGTTAGAGATGGTAAACTAGGACTTCTACGATATATTCAGATCAATTTAGCTGGGAAAGCAAGGCTGACCCAAATTGGATATGAACATACAAAAACAGATAAAGTTACTAAACTAAAAGTGAAATATAGTGATGATGGTCTGTCGTGGACTGATGGAGAAGATGTAAGTAGTTGGAAATTTATAAGTGTCGACTAACCATCCCAGATTTCTCTTATGAAGCTACTAGTTTTGTTCTTCAGTCTAGCTTATGTCGCCCTACCACGCGATAAAACTGATGGAGACTAACAGCAACTGACAGCTTATATCGCTACGACTGAATTTATCCATGATTGGACACAACCAGAAGCAACCAGTTGATCATAGTCGTAAGCGGCTCATGTCGCCCGCGCCAGTTGAAGAATCGGAGCCACAACTGATCACATGACTGACACGTGATAACCGTCAAAATGGCCTCATTCCACTCGTCTCCCACATGGTTGTTACCACCCCCTGGGTACCACGTGACTAAATAATCGAATCTTATTGGCTACGTCAGCGAAGCGCAGACTTAAGCCAGTCGTAGGTGCGCTCATGTTGCTTGCGACTAGGGACAACTAGTTGTCTCCAGTCGTAAGAGTAGAACATGTGCGACTCAGAGAAACTGGAGACGACGGGACGGCGACTGGTTGCCATTTAACTTACACCAGTCGTAAGAGTGCTCAGGCCGCCCTCATAGTCACGACTGATCAGTTCCACTTGATCGTAAACTACTCCTCGATTTCGAGTCTCCGCCAGTTTTATCACGTCGTAGGGCAACATAAGCTAGGCTTTATGCAAAGTTTCAAGGCTTAAGTAGATTTTGCGGTCGTTCCCTAGTATTACTCTATTTCATATTAATTTTATCTATTTCATATTAATATCACTCAATTTCATATCACTCAATTTCATATAAATATCACTTTATTTCATATTAATATCACTCTATTTAATAATTATATCACTGTATTTCAGGTAACACTAAACGCTGGTAATGGTAATTTCCAAGGTTCTCTATCATCCGCGTATATTAGATTTTATGTTATTGAAACATCAGCACCATCCGTGGAAGTAGGACTTAAATTTTCATTTACTGGTTGCTATGATACAGCGACTGTTGCAAGTAAGTAGAAAATAAGTATCGTCAGCCGTTCCTTATGGAATGAAATTAAATGAGATGGGGTTTGACATCCTTCTGTTCTGCTCCTGACTGGGCTAATGAAGATGTGCATATGTCATACAGTGTGCTATGAGAAAAATTCTGCCTTGACTTTTGTTTTAATTTGCAAGAATCATGAGATTATTAACCAGCTAGGTGCCTTTGGTAACCTGTGATATTATGAATGTCATGAATAATAAATAGTGTCTGCGCATGCACCTCGATCAGCTGGACCACCTGGTTTATATTGATATTAGGCATAAATAAACATATCCCACATTGATATTTGATGTAGTTAAACATATCCCGTATTGATATTTGATGTAGTTAAACATATCCCATATTGATATTTGATGTAGTTAAACATATCCCATATTGATATTTGATGTAGTTAAACATATCCCATATTGATATTTGATGTAGTTAAACATATCACATTATGATATTTGATGTAAATAAACATATCCCGCATTGATATTTGAAAAAATAAGTATTTGATGTTTATGGTTAAGTATTGTAATACTTCAGGATGATATATGTTTGTATCTTTTTAGCTCCCTGTCCAACTGCTACAACAGCACCTGCAGGTAAATTATTATTCATTCTGATAAATAGTCCATTTATATTCTAACTTTTATGTTGTACTACAGAGTCATGTTAAAGTTACGCTGTCTGTCTACAATTAGCTGGGGGGTTGGATGGCCGAATGGTTAGCACGTGCGTGCTGTATCATAAGACCTGTCATTGAGTCAATTGCATGGTTTCGAATCCCCGGTTGTACGTGACAAGGAGTATGGTCGCATGTCCAACCTCGTGGGTTTCTCCAGGTCCTCCGGTTTCCTCCCATTGCTAAAGACCCCTACGCACAAGCAAATTATTGAAATAAAATTAAAAACGATATGTTAGTCCGGAAATGACCTAGTTTGTATCGAGTGGACGTTAAACCCCATTTTTTTCTCTCTCTCTCTCTCTCTATAGTTAGCTCCACTTGAGAACAGACACTAAACTAATAGACGGACATTAAGTAACCAGTTTAGTTGAAAAGGCTAAGTATACTTCGAGAATCTTGAGACATGTTTATTCTGCTTCCATTTATCAAAATCGATAAATGTTTATTTAGTCTTTGTGTGTATGAAAGATATAAAATGAATTAGAACCACATTACAAAATAGTGTATTGATTTTTGGACCAGGAAATGGTCACTAACTGCTACTCATCTTTTTGCTGTTCTTGTTCTTGGGGTGATATGGTACTCTTCAAAAAAGCCTAGGGCTCTGTCATGTCCGATCGTCATGAGAATTGGCATGTTTCTTCTTTGAACAATTCTGCATCGATTTGGTGAATAAGATTTTTGAATTTCATCCAACAACATGGTCAGTTACTACTCCATGGTACGATCATACTTATTTGAATATGGTGGCCTTTCAGGTACAGAGATCTAAATACAAAGTAGATAGTTTTCTGTGTCAAGAATACAGACTATTAAATTTCAGAATTTACCTGAGTAAGAAAACCGGTTGTAATTATTTATTATGTGTGAATTTCAGAATATGCTCGTCGTACATTTGTTGTTGATGATACTCATGTGTATGTCTGTGATGGAAGTCTGGGAAGGTAAGTTGTAATAAAAATGTCACAACTTGACTCATTCTTCCTGAATCATGCTAGAATAGACATCAACTGGCATGGTTTTGAATCCCCGGTTGTATGTGACAAGGAGTAGGGTCGCCTGTCCAACCTCGTGGGTTTTCTCCGGGTCCTCCGGTTTCCTCTCACTGCTAAAGACCCCTACGTGCAAGCAAATTATTGAAATATCATCAAAATCGGAAGAAAAATGATTTTTCAGGCAAAAAGAAATATATTTTTGCCAAGGGATAAGACATTTTTTGGCAAAAGTTTCATTTTCAATTATTTTTCTTTTATGAATTCGGACAAAAATGTTTAACCCCTCCTGATCATGTAGAGTCCTGTGTGTCTATTGTAATTTCTTTACATGTTCATTTTAATATAACAGTAATGTTTATCCAACCTTGTTGGTTATCTCTGGGTCCCCCGGTTGTATGTGACAAGGAGTAGGGTCGCTGTCCAACCTCGTAGGGTTTTCTCCGGGTCCTCCAGTTTCCTCTCACTGCTAAAGACCCCTATGCACAAGCGATTTATTGAAATAAATATTAACCATATGTTAGTCCCGAAATGACCTGGTTTGTGTCAAGTGGACATCAAACCCCATTTATCTCTCTATATATATATATGTGTTTATATTATAGTGATGGTAACGAAATTATCCAAAGATGTTATTCTTCACAAGATGGAGACAAATGGACAGGTAAAAAATTGTAGAAATCTAAACTTAAAGTAGCTAAGTCTTAACTCATTATCATTCAAAGTCTTCGACATTGAAAACACAAATTATTGGTGGTAATTACGTGTGAGCTACTGGAATGGTTTTTCTACAGCCAATTCAGCTAATTTAATTATTTAAGTAGCCAAAAGTGAATATTTAATTAATAAATAATTATCATAAGCCTTACTAATATTTCATTTTTAAGTCCAATACAAATGTATATATTTTTTTGTTTACCCCATGCTGACAAAGTTGTATATACACCGTGAATTCACAATACCCAACCATGAATAAAAAATATGAATTTACTTTGAAAAGATTTTGGTGCGTTATCAAAAATGACCGGCAGTGAAAATTTTGAAGTGGAAGACTTGCTTGCGACCCATTGGAAGCCCATTTGTGTCAATTTCTAGGTGCCAAATATTAGCGATTTAGCTCCTTTAAATGATCATTTGGAGTGTGGATTAAACGGTAACAAATTACATACAGTCCGAAAAGAAAACCAAGTGAAGATGAGCAACTTTAGCATTAAATAACATGTACACTTTATTGTATTTCGGGGATCACGTGGCTAAGTGGGTAAGACGCTGTCTCACTAGCCTGGAGGTCGGGTGTTCGATCCCTGCATTGGCCGAGAAAGTCCATCCTGATTTTCTGGCGTGGTTTCCCCTTGTCAGTGATGCAGGACGGAGGGCCTGACAAGGACAGCTGTCTAGTCAGTCGGATGGAACAAAAAACCGAGGTCCCGTGAACACATTGGAGTGCATGTAAAAGATCCCTTGGCAGTTGGAAGTCGATATAAGAGTAGGCCGCAGCGCCGCTGCCCGGGCAAATTTCCCTCATGGGACACTGCATGGCATATGCCCGTCTTCATTAGCCCAGTTTAGGAGCAGAACAGTAGGACGTTAAACCCCATTTCATTTCATTTCATTTATTGTATTTCTTTTTCTTTTTAAGAAATGGACTCTAGGGTGCATTGTATGGTCGGGTTTCACAATGACGTAAAAGGAGCTAAAGTTTACGCCCTCTCGTCCTCTCCGTACTATAATTACATGGTGTCAGGTGACAAAGGAACGACATGGATGGCTGTCAATAACGATAGAATGAACACAGTTAAAACTGATCTCACCTATACTCCTGCTGTTAAAGTACCATGGATCAACAACGTAAACTTGAATAGTATGACCCTTACTCAAGGAAGTTGGGACGGTAAGTCATGTGGCATGACATAAATATATATGTCATTAATTTGTTTATTTTTACCGTGGGCCAAATTTGAGTATAGATTAGGCTGTATCCCCATGTTATACACCGACTGTTGGTTTAAATACACCAGCTATTGACTTAAAGGGCTATTATACATCAGCTGTTGACTTAAAGGGCTATTATACATCAGCTGTTGTTGACTTAAAGGGCTATTATACACCAGCTGTTGACTTAAAGGGCTATTATACATCAGCTGTTGTGGTTTAAAGGGCTATTATACACCAAGTGTTGGTTTAATGGGCTATTATACACTAACTGTTAGTTTAAAGGGCTATTATACACCAAACGTTGGTTTAAAGGGTTATTATACACTGACTGTTGGTTTAAAGGGCTATTATACACCGAATGTTGGTTTAAAGGGCTATTATACACCAAATGTTGGTTACTCATTTTGTGTCTTTTAAGATAGACTGGACTGTTGCATCGTACAGTCTCCATTAACTTCGCCTTTAATTTTCTTGATTGGCGGCACAAAACTGTAGGATAGTTCTTGGAATATTGCTGACTACATGATTTTACAAAAGATTAAAACATGTTTATTTTTATTTTTCAGCAAAATATGAGGGTATGCAGTCAGGCGCTGTAACAAAATTCAAATGGGATTCATGCTGTCCCTAATTAAATATAGAGAATTCATATTCTCAATGATGTAATCAAGATATTATCAAGTTTATTATTGTTGATATTCACATTGTATTATCAATTAAGATTTTTTTTTATGTTTGCATTAATTACATTAATTAAGAGAGATTTATCGGGGAGGGGGGGGGGGTTACACTGTAATCCGGGTAACATTTAATGTTGTGTATTTAGCACTAATTTCTTTCACATTCATTCAATATCAAATCTTTGTTTAAAAATTTGTAAAAATCATATAATATCATCCAAAATCATCTAATTTTTACTTGTGTCCAGTTTATATCTGACTGATTAATTTTGATAATGTGTGTCCAATTTACAAGTGTTTAATCATTATAGATCAATAATCAATTGGGTTGTTTATTTTTTAACAGTGATCGAGAAATTAAACACTTGTAAATTGGACACTCATTATCAAAATTGAATGGTAAGCTTTATGCTGTACACAAGTACAAATTAGATGATTTTAAACAATTTTTAAATAAAGATTTGATATTGAATGAATGTGAAAGAAATTAGTGCTAAATACCAGAAGCGTAGCTGTGAAATATATATTGGAGGGGTCCGCAACCCTAACCCCTAACCCTAACCTATTTTTAAAACCCTAAAAAATATAAACAAACACCATGTGGCCATGCTGTCTACCAAGACACCGCGTGTAAAAGCATTATGGTTACGTTGCTGGCTGAGTGGGCGATAAATATTTGGTTTAGGCGGTTATGTTTTTGGGTACCTACATGCGAGTCACTCTGATAAGTGGCAGAAAAAAATTAACAAAATATTACTGAGGCTAACTAAACACAATTTTATGGAAAACAGGTACTTTTCACTTCACACATGTTTCCAGGATGATTATCTGTGTTTTATTTTAGCAGTTAGCAGTATAAACCATATTGGGATATGTACAGGTTTTATACAGATAGAATCTTAACTAATCCTAATAATTGTTGTAAATAAATAGGAGTTTGGGCCTACTATGTAAATTTTTTGGGGGGTTCAAGTATATTCAGCCCCCCCCCCCCCCATGTGTGACGCCCATGCTAAATACACAAGATTAAATAATACCCAATTCCAGTGTTATTATCCTGGCACACACAATACACAATGTTTAAATTATGAATCATGTCTTAATCGACGATTATATACTGTTTATTGTCTTGGGGTTTTGTTTTTTGCTTATTGTCCCCCGCCTTTCGAAGAAAGCAGGGGACTATTAAAATGGGTTCGTCCGTCTGTCTGTCCGTCTGTCTGTCTGTCCGTCTGTCTGTCCGTCACACTTTTTGGGACACAATAACTCTCTTCCTAATTGAGCTAGAATGTTCAAACTTGGTGTATGTGTTTATTAGGTCAATGCCTTGATGGAGTTCGAAGATGAGCATTTTCCGCTTAGGGTAAGCAGAGATAAGCAATTTGATTGGTTGATGCTTTGGGACACGATAACTCTCTTCCTAATTGGGCTAGAATGTTCAAACTTGGTGTATGTGTTGATTAGGTCAATGCCTTGATGGAGTTCGAAGATGAGCATTTTCCGCTTAGGGTAAGCAGAGATAAGCAATTTGATTGGTTGATGCTTTGGGACACGATTACTTTTAATTGAGCTAGAATGTTCAAACTTGGTGTATGTGTTTATTAGGTCAATGCCTTGTTTATTTTGATTCTATCTGATAGAGAGTGATGAAACTTAATGTATACTTAATAATCAGTTTGATTGCTGGATACTTTTGAAAAAGATAAACATGCAATTAATTAATATATGTCATCTATTTATTTCGGGATTTCAGCGGGGGACATCAGCCTCACTGTTGGCTTGTTTATATTGTTTGTTATAAATTTTATTATATTTATATAATACGTACAATGTACATGAGTATAATATTACTCCTTGATCTTGGTTGATATTATTTTCTTTATCTTCAATCGCTGTCAAAGTTCTGTGTAAGTTTTCTGCTAAAATTGGAAGTAAACATGGCATCTGAAACCTGGCCTCTCATGTCACTCTTAACTGTCTGGTAATGAAATTGACTAGTTGAAGTATTTACCTTTTTGTCAATTTACATATCACAAAATTAGTATATCTAAGAATTTAACCTTAAAAGTACATAATAAATACACTGAAATTCACAGTTTTTATGTGTAAAAATACTTAAAGATATATATATTAAATATATTACCTTTAACATCGGCATAATGCTAAAAATTGTTCTATTTTTTGGAAAATAAATATTATAATTTGCCAGTCCAAGATAAACGAAGTATGTCAATAAATGTCCGACTGATGAAATGAAAGCTTTGCTTGAAAAGTAATTCTCGGTCACTATTTACTACTATAGCCACTTCGCCAGTTCAATTTGCGACAAACAAGAATGATAGGTGTGAAATCAGTAGCAAGCAAGTTGGTAATATATGATATCAAACAAAAGTAGCAGGTGATTGCATGGTACCTAATGAGTTGAACAAATTAAGTTTTGTGGTTAGGAAAAATGAAACAAATTAAGTTTTGTGGTTAGGTAAAATGAAACAAATTTAGTGGTTAGGAAAAATGAAATAATTTTCTGTATTTTTGTAAACAACAACGGTCATATGGTTTGACCAGCTTACATGTAATTGACCAGCTTAAAAATCATATAATCCATATGTTATTGCTCAAATTGAATTCTGGACAAAATTTGTGGAATAGTATGGCATTATAGAAACTATAGTTCTTTTTTTTGTTTTTTAAAAACAACATTAAACATTGTAACACGATTTGATTACTTTAAAATTTTGCGGATTTATATGGCATAATAGAATCTTTCGTTCTTTACTTTTTAAAAGAAAACAACAACATCAAAAACTATCAATTTTAATTGATCACTTTAAAATTTTTGCAAATTTGTATGGCATAATAAAACCTTTAGTTCCTTTCTTTTATAAAAAAACAAAACAACAACATTATACGTCGATTTGATTACTTTAAAATATGTGGATTTGTATACAGGGTAATAGAACCATTAGTTCTTTTTTTAAAAAAATAAAACAACATTGAACAAAATAACATCGATTTCATTATATTTGTATGGCATAGTAGATAATAGAACCTCTATAATTTTTTTTAAACCATTAAATAATATAACATCAATCTGATTACCTTAAAAGACATATGAAGAGTCCAGGGGAAGAACGATCTAAGTCACATTTTTGTCTTTCGCATAAAAGGCAAAACAGACTTTTGGACGAGAATGTTTGACCCAAACAGAACAACGAGTGGGTTTAATTACAACTTCAAAATTATGTTTAATAATACGAATCATAATTACCAGTACAACAACTGATTTCCACTTTTCAGCCAAATTAAGGTCAAATAAATACGATGGACTTGTATTTTTCGTTCTAACCCGGGGCTCTTCATATGTTACATTTGGTAAGCATTAGAGTAAAATTAAAAATTTTGCAATAAAACCAATTCCTATCATTTCTTCTGCTTTATTTCTAAATTATGTATTTTTTAAATTTTATTTGTCATTAATTGTTTATAAGAATTAAATTTTAAATGTTTTATTATTAAAGTAGCAGTCCCAGATATTTTTCATAGATCATTGATTTTTTGGGGGTGAAAGACTCTTTAAAATATTATCATTATCCTGTACATATGTCTGAAGCCTTACAATATTTTTGGGACCAGAAAATGGTCAAATCCTTTGCGCATCTTGTTGTTCTTGGTGGTGACGCATATCCAATCGGCTTGGCTCAATATTTTGATTTACAGTGTAAATAGGCTATTATTGTCACGTTTTGGTGTTTGATGTCCATACTTAAATCACTTTTATTTACATAAATTTGCTTATGGTAAAAATTCCCCAAGCAACGAATTTGACAAGACTGGATTAGAAAAAGAGTAGTTTTATTCTAGGATTTGTTTCAGGTGCATGCCCTTTATCAGCTGGTTACAAAAATAATCCTGCTATCGGGTATATATATTGATAATACTCAGTAAACACTGAGATCTGGGACTGCGCCTTTAAATTTTTTTTTATTAGGATGTAAACTAGATATTGTGACAATAGACCGTGACCTTTCACCTTATTACTGATTGTGTGTTGTCTCGTAAAAACAGAGTTACCCAACTTGAATATTATAAAAAACCTTAAAGCCTCTGATCATCATTTGCATTTTCCGTAAAATATAAATTTTCCGCAGCTTGATCTAAGCTAAAATGTACTCAGATTTAATATTTAGCATTTAATTGAGAAAACAAAAGTTAAAATATCACAGGTAGATAATCTCTTGGCTTGGTTTAGAGGGATTAAATAGAGTACCATCAAAATATTGACGGTAGATAATCTCTCGGCTTGGTTTAGAGGGATTAAATAGGGGCCCATCAAAACATCCACAGTAGATAATCTCTCGGCTTGGCTTAGAGCGATTAAATAGAGGCCCATCAAAATATCCACGCTAGATAATCTCTCGGCTTGGTTTAGAGGGATTAAATAGGGGCCCATCAAAATATCAACGGCAGTTAATCTCTAGGCTTGGTTTAGAGGGATTAAATAGAGGCCCATCAAAATATCCACGGTAGATAATCTCTCGGCTTGGTTTAGAGGGATTAAATAGGGGCCCATCAAAATATCCACGGTAGATAATCTCTCAGCTTGGATTAAACAGCTTGTGTTTTGACCACATATCGTTTATATCATCTGTGGAGGATGCCAAATGTTGAGAAATTTTCAATTCATCATATCTTTGTAAATACTGAAAGGAATTGAACCATTTCTGAACTGATATTCCGTTTAGAGATTCAATTTTCATAATATTGTAGTTTAGCAAAAGATTAAAAAAAAAAATCTCCATTTATTGTGAGAAACATTATTTGATGTACATTCCATCCATGTTGTTAAAACCATGTGATATTATATCGCTACCCTTGATTCAGTATTGTGGAGTTAGTATTTTATCCATACAATGAGTACGTTACCCATACAAATGAGTATTTTATCCTCAGGAATGAGTATTTTACCCATAAATAAATATTTTACCCACAAGCATGACTATTTTACCCATACACAAATGAGTATTTTACCCACACAAATGAGTACTTTAGAAAAGAATGAATATTTTACCCTTAC